TCAAGGTAAGATGGTTATGCCATTCAAATGAAGCAGTGAAGTTTACAAGTTGGACACAAACTGTCAGATCAGATTTCTACTGTAAACAAACTTAGAGGCATGCCTGTAAGATGAATATGCTTTTGCCTCTTTTTTTCTGTTATGTTTTCGTAAAACATGTTTATTACTTCAGAGTACTTCCAGATATTCTGAGTTTCAGGAAATAAAAATAACAGATCATCAACTACTTGTCATCTATGCCGTGATTTGGAGCAGAACAATTTGCTAATCTTGGCTATGTAATCATTAAAAGAACCCACATCTGGGAGCTTTTAGGGTTAACCCTAACAATGTGCTTTACATTTAGTATTTTTTCAACCCTAACCTTATCCTTTAAACTTTGTATTCGTTAACACCAACCTTGTCATTTAAAGTTTGAATTTGTTAACCCTACCCCTATCTTTTATATTTTCAACTGGTAAACCCTAACCATAGCATGTGACTTTTGAATTCGTTAACCCCGACCGTATCCTTTTAAGTTTGAATCCAATAACCCTACCCCTATTCTGTGATTTTTGAATTTCCCTACCCCTATCCTTTATATTGTCAACTGGTAAACCCCAACCTTATCATTTAAAATTTGAATTCGTCAAGCCTAACCCTATCCTTTAAATTTTGAATTCGTAAACCCTAACCATTTAGAATTCGTCAACCCTAACCATAGCCTTTAAATTTTGAATTTTATAACCCTAGCCCTATTCTTTAAATTTTTAACTGGTATATCCTAACATTAGTATTTCAATTTTGAATTCGTAAACCTTAAATCTGTCCTGTAAATTTCGAATCTGTCAACCCCTATCCTACCTTTACATTTTGAATTAAAACCTTACCATATCCTTTTATTTGAATTCGTGAACCCTGAGCCGATCTTTTAGATTTTTAATTCTAAAACTTGAGTACAACCACCACACTAACCGATCGCACAAGGTACACTTGAGGTAGATCCCCAACCACCAGCGGTCATACATCAGATTTACACTCGCAACTCAGAAGACAACACAACTCCACAGAGCTCTGGTTAGCACGCTGCCATCTTGAGAAGTCCCGGCAACCCACGCAGCCAGCGCCCAGACCTAAGGTAATGCACGCCTCTGATTGGTTGCCGTGCACATGTTTAAAGCATGAATTAGACGCGCCTGAATTATTAGTGACCCAGACTAAACACAAGTCTGCGCAGCTAACCCTGTTTTGTCACACCCTAATGCTATACTTTATATTTTCAAACCCTAGCAATTTTGAATGCGTAAACCCTAACCTAATCCTTTAAATTTTGAATTCGTTAACCATAACCCTATGCTGAAAACTTTGAATGGGGAAAAAAATTAACAATATCTTTTAATTTGAATTCGTTAACCGTATGCATAGCCTTTAGATTTTGAATCCGTCAACCCTAACCAAAGCACTTAAATTTTGCACTAACCCTAGCTCTAACCCTAACTCTAACCCTAAATCAAATGCTGTAAATGTTGCGTTCGTAAACCCTAACCATAGTCTTTAAATTTTGAATTCGTTAACCCTACCCCTATCCTACATATTTTCAACTAGTAAACCCTAACCTTACCATGCAAATTTTGAATTCGTCAACCGTAACCATAGCATTTAAATTTGGATTTTGTTAACCCTAACCCCATGCTTTAAATTTTAATTAATGGGTAAAACCATATCCTTTAATTTGAATTCGTAAACCCTGACCCATTCTTCTAATTTTGAATTTGTTAACCCTAAGACTAGCATTTAAATTTTGAACTGGTAAACGCTAACCCTATGCTGTAATCTTTGAATTGGTAAAACCTAACCATATCCTTTTGATTTTGAATTCGTTAACCATAACCCTATGCTTTAAATTTTAATTAAAGGGTAAACCCTAACCATATCTTTTAATTTGAATTGTTAAACCCTAACCAATCATTTTAATCTTGAATTCGTAAACCCTAACCCTATCCTTTAAATTTTGAATTCGTTAACCTTAAGACTAGCATTTAAATTTTAATTCGTTGACCCTAACCCTATGCTTTAAATTTTGCATTCCTTCACCCTAAAACTATCCTTTCTATTTTCAATTCCATAACCCTATTCCTATGCTTTACATTTTGAATTTGTTAACCCTAAGCACTATAGTTTAACCGATTGTAAGGTGAAGAAGTTGAAGAAGTGGTTTATCGAACATGTAACAACAAGGACGACGTTCGTGAGATATTGACAAACCACACAGCTACGTTTGCAAGAAAAAAAAAATGTGCGCTAGTTATGAACGACATCAAATCGATCCCACAAAACAGCATATTAAGAGAATACCCTAGCATCAAAGATTAGAGGTTCAGGATCAGGGCCTGTTTCTTTCACATGATGGATCCGGATCGCGATCAGTGAACCGACATTCACGGTGCAACAATAAGCTGTTACATAGACCATAGAGCTACATAGACGAAGACCACGTTCAATAAGAGTGACCGGGTTCCAGACGAAACGGCGAGGGCGTAATGACCGTCGCAAATAGGGGAATTTGATGATTCCACAAACTGGAACTGGATTCAGTTCACAAACTGTCTCTTCCGGATCAAAATTCAGCTCTGCGCTTCATTTGTCTGGATGAACTTTCTAAAGTGTCGCTCCACAGACGACTCGCCACCACAGGTTGAGATGGTGCAGAAATAAAAAAATCAAAGACTTCTCACAGCCTGCGTACGGTAGAATTACGTTCCAAAATCTCTCTTGCAGTGCGTGTGTTTTCCCGATTTTATAGTCAACAATTCTTCCAGAGATTTCTCTTATTATGTAAGGCTTCTTCAATACACTTTTTGCATTATTTAAAATCTTACAAGAAAACTCCAGAATATATCTGGAAATATCGTCAGCTTTCCCGCACGTACAACGAGAATATTCCTGACCATTCATTCACTAGTGTGGCTTAATTGAGGTCAAACGCAGGTCACACACAGAATAGCGGGCGGTACTATTACGCCATTCGTCACACGTACAGAGATCGTGCGCGTAAACATAACACCCATTGGTTTCAGTTTGTCTACACCTGTGACACATCTTAGAAAAGCTGGAGTAAAGCTAGATTTGCGTCCTTAGACCAACAGGTTCTGGGTGTATATAAAACAGTTACTGGCACATATTAGGTGTATGTGTTGAACGTGGCGTATTAACTCTCCTGCGTCTGACTGGTTCGTTTGTTAGCCTGAGCTTCCGCCTCGATGGTGTCATATCCCTACGGTAGAGGGCCACGGCACCCGGTGTTCCCCCTTCCAGAGGAATACAGTGGAATGTGGTCGGAGTCGGAATGTGGGTGGAGTTGGAATGTGGGCGGAGTTGGAATGTAGGTGGAGCAACGTAAGGTTGTAGTTACTTCGTTCCCATGGGACTTTGCCCTTCAAACCTCATCGTAAGAGTCAACCCTATGACATGTACTAATAATTGGAGATTAGAGACATAAATCAGGAACAGTGGTCATGCCTTTAATAATTCTCCCTTAACAGCCATACCATTCAAATCAAGAGCACTTGTAATATTATTGGTTTAATCACAGAAGGATTAAATCATCCCCCTAAAACTTAAGCGCATTTTATACACTTTCATCCCCAGTAGGCTAATTGGTATTTGTCTATACTACAGTACATAGTCCCATGGACCAATCAGCAATCGGGATCCCGCTACATGCAAAATATGGATAACTCTGCTTTCTCACTTACCCGAATCGAACAGTTGGTGTTCTTATTACTAAACGTAAAGTTTGTGCCCGTCACAGTATGTACCAAGGAACAGACTAAAAAAATATTTCTCTGTCTCCAACGGGCCTACGTTACAAGTTGGTTCAACAAGGCCTAAAGTATTAACTGTATTTTTTGTCCTTACTTTACCAGGAATTACAAGACCGGGATGTAAGGTTACAGTGCAATCTACAACAGTGCAACAATAGGGGGGAATTGTCATCTCTGACAATGTGTATTGTTACACCATCTATTGCCAGGTAGGTCTAATATGTACTAGAATGATCAAACATTCGACGATCCGAGAAATCCATTACAAGAATACCTGCTGGACTGATGTTGGCTACAACAAAGTGAAGCATAGTTTCTAGCCTGCCTATTTTTAAGCATGATGAAATTTACCAATGTATTTTAATCAACGTTCCATAAGCCGTAACCATTGACAAATTACATGGTTTAATTTGTTTCTGTTCTTTGTTGTTCGGAATAGTTGAAAAATTCGTGGATGAAGGACCAAGTACGATAAGCCAGTATCGATAGGCATTTGTATTACATACAAACTGGTTGCGGATTCACCCTTTTTCACAATGGGCGGTTGAACCATCGACTCCACGACAAACCTCATCTAGATTAACGACTCATTGTTCGTTTTTCAGCAAGGTTCCAATCTAGTAAGACGTTTGGTTTTGGATGCCCTTTGTTATAGCGAAACCTACGAATGTGACCTGGTTTCTCCATTTGAAACATTTCCGATTTTTACATTGAAGAGTTTCTAACAGACCTTGAATAATTTTGATGTTTTTTTTTTCTTATACTGTCTGTTCAAGTCCACTACTATTTCCATCAGCAGTAACTGGCGCCGCTGAATGTGGCTCCTGTAAACTTCCAGTTTACTTATGTAGCGAAGCAATTGTTGGCGTGCATGTCGTACTAGCTTCAGCTTTTAAAATATCTTCTTCGCGCTGTACTGTTGAGAGAGCGTCTTTCAGTGTTTCAGGATTTGAGCATCGCATGCTCTAGAAGTTAAGAGAACAATGAAGTACGCTGGTATACTTATTAGAATGGCGAGGTCGTCGAAAACTTTTGTGCATGCATGCATAAAGTTTTCGACCTATGCCAGCGTATGGTTCATACGTCCCACAGATATACGCGGGCCATAAGTTGTAGGTAAGCTGTGGAATCGTTGACACACGTCCACTCGCGTCACATATAAGGTATTCAGTATTATTATTACTACATTATTACTACTATTATTTATGGCCACTTTTCGGCCACCTGTGTAAAATATGCTTTTCCGGTACCACAAAAGCAGAAAAGTTGAATTCACGGTTGTCGTCAAAATGTTCGATTCATATTTCTGTCTGCTCGAAAGCAGAAAAGCAGATGACCACTTTTCGTCCTCCATAATTATCATTATTTATTTCTGACAATGTCAGGGGTCGTGACAGAGACCGTACAGACCATCTTAAACCACTCCCCGAAAAAATAAACAGAACGAGTAAATGTTAAAATATATGTGAAAAAAGAATCATATACAAGGATAACATGAACAGACGAAAGAAATGAAACAAAATTTTAATATAAAAATGCGTTCAATTCAAAAGTTAAAACGACAAACGAACACAGTAAAACCAGTAGTTAGTAAAAATGAAGAAGATTATTTAAGATATGCCACATTCAAGGAAAACTGTACAAAATATGAGAAGTTTGTATAAGAAAAAGAAAAAAATATCAAATAACTATAAGATTTTATGGTAGAAAGCAAAATCAAAACAAATGAAAAATCACCAAGTCAATAATTCAAGGAGAGAGCTTTTGAACATGTTTGAAGATGTAGACTGGATAACATGCTCAGGTGGACTATAACACTCATTAGCAGTACTGACGAAAAAAATGAATATTTACAATAGTTAGTACGGGCAAAATTAATGTGTAGTTTAAGACTGTTATCGTTTTGCCCTATTCTGAAGGCCGGTTGAAACTTGTATAGGGCATTAATGTCCGTAAGGCCATTCAAAATTTTAAAACACAAAACCAAACGGAAAAGATTCTTGTAGTTCAGAGACCAGTCCAGCTTAAATGATTAATCTGTCGGTATTATAGTTAGTATGCCAGTCTTTACAAATAAATTTGACACTCTGGTTTTGAAAGCATTCTACAACTGAAGAATGATTGAGCCCATCCCAGGCTATACAAGAGTAATCCAGTCGAGATCGGATAAGACAGATATAAAGTTTCAAGATAGTAGCGAAACATTTACTAAACTTTCTTCTAATCGGTAGTGTGTGCTTAGATATACATAATAAAACATGTCTAGAAAACCAAAATCTGTGTCGCTAAGCTACTTTTCTCCTCATGAACCAAACCTCAGTACACCATTTGACTGTCTGACAGAGACAGTTCCTCATTATCTCATTACGGTACCGACATGAAAGAAGAATGGACAAACAAAATGCTCAACTGTGAAATTAAGTCGATGTGCCGTCTTAAGTTGGAGTTATAGTGAGAAGGCCATGTCTTTCTTGTTTGAAAACCACAACGACGTTTTTGTACCAAATAAAATATAGACCTAACCAATGGCAAATGAATGTAGATTCGTTAGCAATGAATGAAACGCTGAGTATTTGTCCACATGATAACTTTTCATAATTGACCTTCGGAACATGGCAGTCATCACTGGCACCGTTCGTATACCTTTGCTGACAGTTATACTATGCATGGAGGTGACTCTATGATTACACCGTGAATGCTTTCAAGAAAGTGATTCATTGACAAAGTGAGGAGAGGGCTGGGAACCCCTCAATGTCTGAATTACTTATTCTGACAACATTAACTTAATATCCAAATAGTATACATACTGCCTCAAGGCAGCCGAGGCAACTGTGGCTTGATTAATTCCCTTCGATTTAGTCCCAGGTGTCAATTAGCGATGAAATTGTGACCAAAAAGAAACCAACAGAAAAAACCCTACATACAGAGGATATATACTATTATTGAGTGATGGCTTACATGTACATCGTAATAAACGTTACATTCGCTATGTTGATGATACATTCACCCGAAGAAATGTCTCTGTACAACCATATATTCTAAACCATAAACAAAAACACAACATCAACCCCGGTATTTGGTTACATAGGATGAAAACGTCAGTTTGGTCAGGAAACTCTAATCTCCTTTGTGCTTTATTTTGAGGCGGATCCCGAGGTTGTTCCTTCGTCTTTGTTGTCAAAGTCTAAATTCCTTTTTGCGTCATGACTTGGCGCATCACGATCACGAGGTTTTTCCTTCTTCATTGGTGTCTCCGGGTTGGCTTTCCTTTCGTTATCCTGCAAAGAACGGTTTTATCAACTGTTTTACCATAACTTACTCTAATAGGTTTTGGTTTGACCTATCAAAGTTAATTTAATCTCCATTACCTCTAATTGTTAACTCAGCTTTGTATTATAGCCTGTGATAACAGCCATCCAACCTGTCTATAATTTAATTCACAGTCTTGGATCAGACTTTCAAGAAACGTATAGCGCTTAGGCTTTCCCATCTAGTATCCCACTATAAAATCCACAGTGAAGTGTCCAGTACCCGGTACAGAAATATAGTGACCAGCAAGAGACCATACTGCAGAACTAATAAAAGTACATGGTGGCTTGAGATTCAGATAATTATTGTTTACATCCGCTGACGTTTTTTTTAAATAGGTGTAATCCAAACTTTCTTGGAAGGAGAATTCATAATCAAAATTTTCTTGGAAGGGAAATTGGGGGATTTTTTATCTACACATAAAACGCATGTGCATAAAGAGTATACAAAGAAGCCATATTATTTATAAAATGTAAGAGTTTTTCGTCCTTAATGTCACAGATTGATTGTCCATTTGTAACGACTTCACAGGCCTACATATCCAGGCTCTCCCTCCCGGGGGTAATTTGTCATATATTTTCCAAGCTATACTTTTCCTCTGTTGGGTGGATTCACATACCTGCTTTTCGCGTTCAAGTTCCTTCCATTCCTTGAAGCACCTTTTGGCGTTTTGGATTTTTTCATTTTCATCGATCCCCTTGTAGTAGACACGGATCTGCTTTTCTTGAAATTTCTCAGGTAACATCGTTGAAACCTGAGTAAAAGCAACAATATCCATGTTTGAGTAGCCTAATCACAATTGTCCTCACGCGCAAATTGAGCACTGCATGTACTTGGCCCTTCCCCGATTTTCAGTATTTGGGAAAAAACTCGACTTGTACTTGCACATTTTTAGGGCTCGTCCCCAAACTCAGCATTCTGCCCTCAGAACGTGATACTCGTGCACGTAAAAACTATCAGCTTTCCCCGTTCTGATACTAAAACATTGGAACTATGATTCCATACATGCTATACATTTACGTATCATTGCATCGACTGTCTGATAATCGAGTCTTAATCGCAATTATGAATTGAGCGTTCGTATGCTATTGCTGGTGTACACCTTCGGTTCCCATATTCTGATTCATGAACACCAGCGAAGCATTATGTGTGTAGGTCTGGATATAGACCTACCATGGCGTGTTTATTCATCTGTGAGAGAACGGCCAGCCATCCTGATACAGTCAAACAACACTCTCCTTTGGAAAGCCACAGACTGGGATCACACACAAAAATACTGCCAGCGGGCAGAAACAGCATCTGAACGAGATATTTTCAGATGTAAACCCGCACTACGAATTGGGTTACTTGTTGGAAGGTGGCGGGTACAAACACCGAGTAACAGTGCCTGGCTTTGCCTTGTTTAATATGGCAAAATGTTCCAAAGCATCACTGGGAACTTTCACGGATCTGGAATTTCAGATTTGAAACCTTTCTCATGTGGAACCCTTTTTGAAACTTTTAAAAACATAATGTTTGAAAACAAGAGAGGGATCTAGGGCACCCTGCAAATTATTCCTGGTACAAACATTGCATTCTAAATACATTAGGTACGGCACATTTTAATGTGTCCACCCTGCACGTGGCACCAATGGCATCCCTGTGTAGATAAGTCTCTCCCTTGGTCATGGATACGAGGTACGAAAGTGTGCGTGTCTGTTTCAGCTTCCAAGTCCTCAGTTTCTTACCTCATCCTTTGGAAGTTTTATTCCCTTATCGGGGTTATCCTTGGTGTAGAACCGTACCTTGTCAATTGGATTATGTGTTTTACAACCATAGTTGAAGGTCACAACCTGTCATTAAAATGAAAATAAGTTATTGCACATGTAAGGATAATTTATTTCATGACTGTATTAGTTTTTTTTGTTATTTGAGTTGTAGTTTAAGTTGTTATTAGTAAATTCGACCATGGAGGAAGGACACAGAAGGAGTTGTAACTCAGGCACTTCAAAGCGTCCAATGATGGTCGCCGCCGCGTCTGACGAATAATAGAAAACATTC